TATTTTTAAATTAAAATAGTGTGAATTTATTATAGAAAACGTAATTGGAAAAAATGATAAAAATTCTATAAATATAAAATGTCTATAAAATGTCTTATAGTTAAAAATTGTTTTTTCGCCGATTTTACCCTATACTTACGTTGTTTTTTTTTTCCAGAAAACTTGCGATTTTTTTAATATTGACTCAAAGWACAAACTACATTCAATTCTCTACCAGAAAAAATCAATTTGAAAATCTATGCATTTTTTTCTATTATAGTTACATATAACCCGTAGATATGTTTTGAATATTTTTCAACTATAAAACCCAACATGATTAGTGGGGCCCATTATCTTCTTGAAGAATGAATAAAAAATAATAATATACATGATAATCGATATCTAATCGCCGATGTTATCAGTTTTTTTTTTTTGGATCATAGAAAACTTGTACTTAATATACGCCATTACATTTCTGCATGGATCAAATGTAATATTTTCAAATCTATCATTCTATCAACAAGTGTGGGCAATACAGGRCCCTTTCCCCCTTCCTAGAATTTAAAATTTTGTTTTCCAGAGCATTATTATCTTTAATGCGCTGATTCGGTAATGGATTACTTATTAAAATGTATACAACAATTTTCGTTTATTTTTAAAATCAATTTTGCACCTCCCCAGAATGGGAGTCTGCCGAGTCTGGGGACACCCATGTCAACAAGTGTCCAGTTATTTTTCTTTCTAATAGGATCCACATACATAATGTATACATTATACCAATATATGTACCTGACACCTGATCTAAAAATCGTAAATCAGTCCCAGTAAGGTTATAATATAACTATATACCTATTTCATTCAACTCGCGACTACTTTATAGCCCCGTTCAGACTTTTATCCACGTCCCACGACTCACGAGCAAATAAGAATAACCAGAATAACAATATATATATTATTGTTAGAGAAATAGTGAATATAAAATAAATTAATTATAGGTAGGTACATACTTCACATGCACGCAGTAAGCCGCGGTGCCTAATGCAGTATTTATGTTATTGTTGCATCGCAAATATAGCTTCGGTACGTATATATCTATCCGTGTATACTGCATTGTATAACGCGTTTACTGCGATTTATGTATCGTAGTTGCAATGAGTATTTGCGATGTAAAGTTCAATCACACGACGGTAATAACAGCGCATTGCTGCCCACGTACTTTTCACACGTGCCGTCTATTGAGATTTCCAAAACAATATTAATAATTATGCATATCAATATATAATTAATGTAGAATATACCTAATATTGCATTGTATTCGATGATAAATAATAATGGTCACGATGTGTTCGAGTACCTACACTTACCTATTATATTATACTCCATGCGTTGCAATTTGAATTATTTCGATGATTGTTACTTATTTTTGATAGGTAGGCTTTAATTCATTGGGCATTATAACAAACGTAAAATTGTAATTTTTTTTTTAAACATTTTTATTTGGGAAAATTATATTATTTTGCAAGCTAGTGCCTACCTATCTAATAATCTCGTTGATGTGCCGCTGCCGGTTATTTTTTCTCTGTGCTGCCACACATGCTGCATTAATTATTAATTTTTTGTTGGTACTWAAAATCCCTTAGAACATTTTTTTACTTTTTAGTTTTTAGTATCTACTAGTGATGGCGAGCATAGTTATATTATTTATGCGATATTAGATAATATATAGGTATTATGATTGGTTATAATTTACGAATTAAATGTTAACCATTAACATATGATTTCAATATGTAATAACTAATAGTGCAAGGCATCACACACTTGTGACTTGTACTGTATTTTACATCAACCTATTCATTTCTAAGTTGAGTATAATATTTTGTAATTTTGTATACCAAGTTATTAACTTTAAAATTATGCATAGACGCATAGTGCAACAAAACCTTATCTGTAGAACCATATTCATTATTATAAAATGTATAAAATAGAGATACTAAATATTTAAGTAAGTTTAATTAACCTTGGCATATACAGACATTTACCAGGGATGAGGAAATAGTAAATATAAATATAAATAGTTACCTATGTTTACACCACTGTATATAAGTACGAATATTAATAATATTCTAACTTGAACTTGGTTTAGGTGTTCATAATGACCTCATCAATGAATTTATTATTTTTAAATAACATGAGTACATTTAATATTTATATTTTATATAGGTGCAATATTTTTCATTTAGTATTATACATAATATTATAGTCTATAGATACCCATAGGCCACAGTTTAATGATTAATATTCTAATTTTAATGGGCAAAGTTGGCRTGTAAACATGTGTTTATAACCCACACACAATATGYTCTTATGCAGTCTTTTTACCCACCTACAACCTGCAAGGTGGTCTCCTGAAGGTCAAATGGACTAACAATAACTTTTGTGTTGTACTTTTGGGTTCTAAGTAATTGCATTTAATATTTATAAATAATAAGCAATTAATATTTAGCACCTAAATTAAGATTGTCAATTAATGATATTTCTAATATTGCTAAACAATGTGGCCTTGTTCTATTATCTAAACGCAGATTATTTATTAACAATGTTAACTATATATATAAGCTGATTAATAATCAAATTGATTGCCCCGATCTATTAATTAAAAGTAAATTTAAGGTACCTACATTCAACTCTCGAAATCACTCATTATTTCATATCGACTGCCACCGCCAGAATTACAGTTACTATAGCCCGTTAAACCATATGTATAAGTTCTGTAATAACTTTACAAATTTTGATTTTTTTAATGATCCTCCGTGTTTACTTTATTCTTTATCTACTAAGTAATGTAACTAATTGTTTATATATTCTGTAATTTTTGTTCATCTTGGGCGTAATTAATAATAATAAGCAATTAATAAAAGTACCACAAAATGTATTGAATAATAAAAAAAAAAAATGTATACATTATAATCGTAAAGTAAATTTTTTAAATTGCATGTATTTTCAAAATGGATTCAATAAAATAATGGTAAACAACTATTAAGTAAAATTTAAGCTTAAATCTTATTAGCAGCCTTAACTACAGGTTTTCTAATAACATTATTATCTTCTTTCTCAAATGTGAAAGGCTTATCATAACCTAATAAACGTTGATAATGCATTACATCATCAAATGCTTGTGGATCCACAAAAAGAGGGTATTGTTTTGCATAAAATGTGACAGTTAATTTCTGTGTCAATGGCAATCTTACTTCAAATGGTTTAAATTGYACCTGAAATTAAATACATAGTTATAAATTAAACTTATAATCAAGAATACATTTATTTMATCAATTKTACTGCAATAAATTAACTAATATACTTTAAATAGTAATTTTTAGAATGTTTTTAAATTAATTACCCCAATTTTCATTAAAACATTTTTTTTAATGATTGTATTGGTGTATTAACATTTAACACTAGAAAATGTTAGTCAATGGCGAATAGAAAAGTTTTTTTTTAAAAACTAATTTAACTATTTAAATAATAAATATTTTTCCAGTTAATAATAAAATGTTTAGTTATTCATTTGTAGTGGAACTGATATGTTAAATTCCACCCAAGTGGAAATGAAAAAATAATATACCTTTTTTATAACTAAGTTAAGTAAATATTTTTGAATTTTTCTGCTTATTCATTAGTTATATTTTATTAACTATTCATAATTCAATTACTCRTGGCCTAATATGAATAACAATGACTTAACTACACTAAGTCAAGTTAATTTTTTTCATTAACTGATCCATCTATTAATTACTAGGGCTCAGACTAATATAATTTATTTAAAATACCACCACACATTTTAGTGGTTAATATTAATTTAAACAAAATGAATACCTAGGTAACTTTTAATATCTAAACAGGTAAAATGATTATATTTTRGAACTAGATAAATTTGTTTTTTAAAAATAAAAATTAACATAAGTAGGTACCTACATTATTAAATTAAGCTTTATTTTAAATTTATTTTAAAAASAGATTAGAAATCTTTAACGGATCTATCTTAAATAATTTTGCAACCCTGAATGCAGTTTTTAAAATATTGGATCGAACTCCTCAAATTGTTCTCAATTCAAACACTGCCACACTGGGTGTATTATCTATTTTCTATGAGYAAGTAGTTTAAATTTAAAATATATTACTTATACTTGCCTTCTTAGGTTTTAAAAAAAATGAAATAGTTGTGGCATTGTACTCGTCAGTGTTTTGGTTATATTCAATAGACGTCACATATTTTCTTGTTACCAAATGAATGAGTACTGGAGTAATAAATGTAAAAAATCCAGCAATGGTGCATACACCAATGGTGGCTGCCAAGCTACTGCCCACTTCTGCCGCTTTTTGTATTACCATAGGCTGAATACACAAACCTACAGCGCTGGTCATAAATGATACGATTTTCAAGTTACGGATTCGTGGACCTAAAGTTCCAATGTAGATGTTTCTCCACTCTGTGTCATTAGTTTGAATGCTGATACTGTTAAACTTGGACTCTGTGGATGACTGCAATTGGATACAACCATCAATATTATTGATTGTAAAATTATTTGTTTGTAGATACTTACGCATTTGAAGTTGACTGCTGCGGCCAAAGGATGTTGATAGTTTACTTTGTTCAAACAACTCCTGAACTGTGAAATACGACAAGTACGAAATATGATTGAAGAATACATTATCTTACAATGAGTATAAAAATAACTAAATACTATAAAATGTTGGACTATAAGTAAAAAAACGCAGATAGGTCCGGCAAGACCTAGATGTTCTTACGTTTCAATAGACACTTAAAATCATTAAATGTTAACTCAATTAGAATACTGAATATTAGATTCGAGCATTATATTATTATCACAGATTATATAAAAATCTGTGATACTATTATAATATGATTTTCTATGATAACGATTTACGTACACATGGACTAGAGAATAGTGATAAGAAGGCCGTATGGTCAGTGCACGGGGTGACCATACGTACACGTAAGCTGTTCTATGACGTAAGTGAAGGCCAATGGTGGTGACCATAGTAGAAATCACGGTATATCTCAAGCCGTGATACAAACTATTTTTTTTTTTTTTTTATCTAAGTTTATAAATTTCATAGTTAGAGCCGTTTGAGGTAGACACTACACACTAGACAGTCGTGGACAACAATAAGATCCTGAACATCCACTCTGTTCAACTAAAGTTTAAAATAAATTTATATGGTAGAGAGCCTTGACATTAATATTGAGGCTCTCTATTTATAGGTAAGGCCTAGAATTAAATACAAAATGGGTTGTTTTTGGGAAAGTCTACGGAAATGATATTCAAGTATAAAATTTGTTTCACACGTCAGACAAAGCTAAC